AAAAAAAAAGAAATCTGTATTCACAGGTATGTCCACCTGTGTTACGCTTTTTTATATACAATAGTATATATGAATTTGCATGCCAATCCACAAGAAGAAATGATAGATACTCTGACGGTGTGGATACTATTTCGATTTTATTCTGCTCTTATGATGACTCCACATTTTAAAACAGTGATCACTGTCTCTCAGATCACTGATTACCCATGAACGTGTAAACATTTATGAGGAAAGATGACAAATAAATACAATTTGTCACTATCCTGAGATTACCTATAAACTGAATGCTCCACTTACTGCACCCCATGTTCTCACTGTTTTGCGTCTGTGCTCAAGTGTTTATTTCCATTCATATAGTTGTTACATACAGATTAGAAATTCATGCGAGGTAAATCTTCATATCACCGTAACCATGCATGTCATCCATGACTACCGCTCCCGGCGGGGCACCACGTTTTTGGTGCGTTTTCTTTTTCACATTTCTTATGAAATTCTGCCCTTCGTGATTATACTCTCTTAGATCATACATATCTACTTCCGCTGACACACACTTTGATCATATTTTCTCCCTTCCAGGTGATTTCCAGTTCTCAGTATCATCAGACGATAACTCTGAGTTCTGGCTGAGCCCTGATGAGACTCCTCTTAATGCCAGACTGCTGGTCTATGTAGGACAGGTAAGCAACAAACTGTGTTCTGAATATTATCTGAAACACACAGAGGGTCACTCCATTTAAAATCAGCAGGGTCCCTATATTCTTTATAGTTTACGAGTCAAAGGAAAGCTATTTAGTACAACCCATTTTTCAGTACTCTCCTGTTTTTAAATGGTATTGCTTAGCAACAAGCTGTTACTGTAGGAAGAGCCTGAATCTTCTGGGGCCTAAATTCAACCTCTTAATGTCATGACCTAAATAGTAAAACACTTAGTATAATATATACCTCTAGGGAAGTTCATCCATAGTACAGTTTGCGCAGGGAAGCCAAACCTTAATCATTAGACTACATAGTGACTTTATTATCTGATAGGATATTCAGGTGACGGTGACTCATATCTTTAAATGTCTTCTAATGGATTTTATTTCTCTCATATATGGCTATGCACACTATGACAGATCAGGCAAGTATAACTATGATTAACTGCAATTCTTGTGGAATCATAGTTACTGTTGAGACTTTAAAGGGTCGAAGCTATTACTCTGAAATGATGCCATCTAAAATCGTTGCCGAGATGTGACTAAGAGCACCCAGCTCTGACCACACCTCGACATAAGCCTTTAATTCTGCCAGAGTTCATCGATACAGCAACAGCAGGGACAATGAGCGATTTGACCTTGTTCGTCTTTAGTAATCACCCGCTCCCCGCATGTCACCATCCTAACACCGAGGCTATCACTCACCTCCCCCAACGCGCGCCTCAAAATACAGTCGACTTAAATCCTCCTGTAGAACATCCTGTGAAAAATCGTTTTCCTTTCCCATCTATCCTTGAAGTACCCTCTGCCCGCAATTGAATAAAAGTCAAGCTGTGGTGCTGCCGCTGCCTCTGCTAATAAAGTTTTCTCTGTGAAACCCTCTGAAAGATTTAAGAAGGGAAGGATGCACGAGGTTGCACAATATTTGAACTGCACCATATGAGTGCTCTCAGCAAATGTGTGTTAAGAGCAAAGGTCCAGCGATGGTGCCATCTGTATTCCAACAGGATGCGAGATGTCACCAGGTTTCATGGGAGCTGAGATTAATTGGCTGCGTGAGAATATTGATGTGACATTTAGCAGTGGAGAAATATCATCTAGGTAATGGCAGAGGAGCAGCATTATGGCGAAGGATCATTCATCCTGCCACCGGCTGACAGACAGGTCTCACTGCCTTCCCAGTCTCGAGAGGCACTTTGTGTTTCACGGATAAAAATCTAAATCGTTGCTCCGTTCAAACCATCTGCATGAGCTTAGGTGGGAAAAGAGTTTATTTAGATTTTCTCTTACTGTAAGGTTTTTTTTTGAAAGAGGATTTTGAAGTAGTCAGATTTTCCCCAACTTTTAAGAGTTTGTGTTTCATGTAGCACATACACTTTTCACCCTGAGGAGACATGTGCTGCTGATCTTTGCTTGCTACAAAGCCTGCCCTTAAGACTTTTAAGAGCTCTAATACAGCGGGCCCCAACCCCCGGGCCGCGAGAGTGAGACTCGGGTGTAAAATGTGTGGTTTTCAGGGTTTTTATCGGTTTTCAGCGTTATTTTGTTATCGTTTTTTTTTGTTGACTCAGTTTTCCTGGGTCTTTTCACGTGTGTTATGAATAAATCTTCTTTTTTTTCAATACCGGTACTAGTTTTATTTTGTTGTATTTATCCGCGACACCTTAAAGGCCGGTCCGTGAAAATATTGTCGGGCACAAACCGGTCCGTGGCGCAAAAAAGGTTGGGGACCGCTGCTCTAATACACAATTAATTTATGGGTTTTTAAAGTTATTTCAAACCAGATAATAATAAAATCAACAACAACAACAACAATCTTTATTTAAAATTAAAAAAAAACAGCGGTATACCAAAGTAACTGTTGAGTAAAATAACT